TGCCAACTTTGTTATTTTCACTTAAATGAACCTTATTATGAAAGCACTTCTTGTTTAAAGTACATTTACACTTTAACTAAAAGGAAACTTTTGTAAAAGTAACTTTAGGTGTTTCATTATTAAATTGGCCCTTAACAAAACGTAGTACATGAGCTATGTTAGGCCGATGCAGAAGTGATCAACAAAATTTTAGTCGCATTGGGCTTCCTAGGGTGGGCCGTTGCGAAAACGCAACATTGGGAGAATTCACTACTATTACCTTGGGCGAGACAATTTACTAAAAATATTAAATTTAGTTTGTGTTAAATTAGTAATTAAATTTATTAAATATGTAATAAATAATAAATTTTAATTTTGTTTTGTGATAATCATCAAAACATTTGTCATGGTATGCAAGATTGCATCTTTCATCTGACGCAGAGTTTTTTGTTTTGCAATAAGGTAATGACAGTTATGCTGGCCGACAGGAAAAACGCGAAAGCTTTACCAGAGAGTAAAGCCACTTTGAGAGGATTTCAAACCAGGGCGAGCGCCTGCAAGAACAACCATGGGACCATATGTAGGAAGGGACACTTTTCTACCAAACTGAATGGTAGTATCACCGAAAGTTGTGGAAAAGACGAACCCAAGCCCCCAGTCAATGATGACAGAGTGGATGTTCCAGGCCTTACTATAACGGGGTACGAATAGTAATTACACGTCTTAAAAACAACAAAACTCCAGGACCTGATGATCTGCCAGCTGAGCTATTCAAGTACGGCGGCGAGGGGCTGATAAGGTGCATGCCTCAGCTCTTATACCGATTCGCCCAATCCATAAGAAAGGCGACACGTGGTCTTATCGAGCGTATGGTGTGAAAGACTGAAGCCCGCCGTCAGCGAACTGTAATAGGCCTATCAGTGTGGCTGTAGACCTGGCAAATCCACCATAGGCCAGGTATTCCCAATACGCCAAATCTTGGAAAAGCCCCTCGGGAAATGGGTCGACACTCACCACCTATTTGTGGACTTCAAAGCCGCTTTAGACATCAATAAAAATAGTTGCCCATACGCCGCTTTGTCTGAATTTGGTAGCCATATACATGTATACAAGTAAACGATGTAAGTTGAAATGAAGTTGCCGATAAAGATATCGATTACGATAAATTTCTTGATTTCAATATTTCAGTTATCGTATCAAACAAATAAAATTACAAATTCGCTCCGTGCAAACAAAAGACTTAAGCTGCGAACTTGATTAAGTTTAAACGCGCAATTTCTGTCTAAAAATTTTCGAACGCTTGTAGATAGTATATCAATCTTGTTAAGTTATGACTTAGTGCATTAATTTCAATATGAACATTTTACCATAATCTAGTACAATTTGAATATGTAATCGTAATCGACAGCAATCTGCATTTCACCGGCGACCGCAACAACTAACGCCAACAAACAGGAATCGCACAAAAACCATCATCGAATCATGGCATTCTTAGCACCTTGTAATAAACTGGCTATAAATAGCGGTACTGCTATGTATGTACATATGTTAAAGCCGCATACAATTTTGCATATTACACGCAATAAAAATAATAAGAAATGGCGAATTTAAAAAAATAAAATAAAAAATACAGTAACTTAAAGAACATTTGCTACGGTGCTTGTGTATGCAAAAGTGGCAGAAAGTTGGCATCGAGTTGTTGTAGACAATCTTCCTTGCCATTTTTGAAATTCTATTTTAATGTTAATTTATTAGATTTTTGCGCTTTTTATCGCTTGTGGCATTCAGTCGCGTGCGCTACTTTTTCTTTCACGTTACCGTTGCGTTAATGTTTCTATATTTACCATATTGATATGCATACATATATATGTGTGTATATGTATATACATAAGTATATTAGCTAGAGCAGCACCGCTTAGAAAAGCAATAGAAATATATGTACACATATGACACTTTTATAGCAACACAAAAAACAAGCCAACGGAAACCGAAACTCGTTCTCACTAATGTAGCGGCCAGTCAATAGTTGTATAGACAAAGAATGAGCGGCTATAAAGAATAGTTTCAGGTTCGTTGTGCAGTGAAATAACTGATTGAAAGCTTAAGCTGTTTATGAGTTTCATTGGTGGATATGTGTTCCAGTATTTTGCATGCATTTCGCTCGCAGCAGCGTACTGAACTTGCACTAATTTCAAGCACATGCATATTTAGAACATGAAAAGGAAAAAATCCACTATAAATTTTGCCGATAGGTGGCGCGCGAGTCGATGTATTTGGTAAACTAATATTTATGGTTTACAAATAACTTATTTAAAAAAAAAAAATCAAATTCAACTTTATTCACCGATTAATTTATATATGTATGTATATTACGGTCCCCCTACCCTACCTTATTATTAGAAGTATCATTGCATATTTTTATAGACTTTTTAAAAATAAGTTAGTAGGTCACAAAGTACGGCTTTGTAGATTTATCAGTTTTTGAATGACCAATTTTCATTAAATTTTAAAGACCCAACATGTTGTGAGCAGAGATTTATAGGCCTTTAAAATGATATATAGAAATCTATCGTCAGACTTGGATTGTCGGGATTTTTCATCGGAAATACTAAAAAAAAAAATCTGTTTCCTATTTTTTTAAGTTTTGACCGTCAATTATTTCCACCATTTAAAAATACATAGTACTATCTAAAATTAAATCTATTTTCAAATAAACTGATACCTCATTTATTGCAATCGCATCGTCGAAACTAGGCGACGGGCTTTTAAGTTTTTAGTTTAAGGAGAAGATGAAGACGAAAGGAGATTAAGAAGAAAATATAAACAAGAGAAAGATGAAGAGAGAGCTGAAGCGAAAGAGAAGGTGAAAGAGAAAGAGAACGAGAACGAGAAAGAGAAAGTGAAAGATAATGAGAAAGAGAAAGAGAAAGATAAAGAGAAAGAGAAATAGAAAGAGAAAGAGAAAGAGGAAGAGAAAGACAAAGAGAAAGAAAAAGAGAAAGAGGAAGAGACAGAGAAAGAGAAAGAGAAAGAGAAAGACAAAGAGAAAGAGAAAGAGAAAGAGAAAGAGAAGGAGAAAGAGAAAGAGAAAGAGAAAGAGAAAGAGAAAGAGAATGAGAAAGAGAAAGAGAAAGAGAAAGAGAAAGAGAAAGAGAAAGAGAA